ATACAATTGTTCATAGCAGTCTTCTATGACCCTTTTATTTATTTCTGTGTATTGGTCATAATGCTTTCTCTTTCATTTTTGAGTTACATTTACCTGAGTCTTTTTTAGAGTATAACTAAGATTATTTAATTTGTTTATCCTTTCACTAACTCTCAGTTTTGATAAACTTTCTATAATTCTTCTAGTCTCTATTTTATTTCTTCTTGGATTTTTATTATTTCTTATATTCTACCAATTTTAGATTCTGGTTGTTCTTTTTATTTTCTTCCTTTCTTGAGATGTAATGTTAGGTTGTTTATTTCAGATTCTTCTTCTTTTTGATGCAGGCCTTTATCGCTGCATCCCGTAAGTTTGGTTATGTTGTATGTTCATGTTCATTTGTCTCAAAATGTTTTTAAAACTTTCTTTTAATTCCTTTGTTGACCCATTGATTACTTGAAAGCATGTTGTTAGGCTGGGAATGGTGGCTCACACTTGTAATCCCAGTGCTTTGGGAGGCTAAGGAGGGAGAATTGCTTAGTTCAGGATTTAGAACCAGCATAGGCAACATAGAAAGACCTTGTCTCTACAAGATAATGAAAACATTAGCCTATTGTCTTGGTGCACTCCTGTAGTCACAGCTACTTAGGAGGCTGAGGTAGAAGGTAGAAGGTCAAGGCCGCAGTGAGTTGTGACCATGACACTGCACTCCAGCCTGGGTAACACAATGAGACCTTGACTCAAAATAAATAAACCAACTAACACACAAAAACAACAACAACAAAAAGCATGTTGTTTAATTTTATTACTAAAAGCTTGTTTTTCATTAAAAGACTTGTTTGTGGCCTAACCTATGATCTATCCTGAAAAACGTTTCATGTGCACTTAAAAATAATATGCATTTTGCTGCTATCGTATGGAAAGTCCTGTGTGACTATTAGATTGATTCGTTCTAAAGCATAGGTAAAATGTGATCTTTTCTTATTAATTATCTGTATGGAAGTTCCACCAATGCTAAAAGTACTAAAGTCCCCTTCTATTTTATTTATTTATATTTTATTTACTTATTGTTTTTTTGAGTCAGAGTTTCATGCTGTTGCCTGGGCTGGAGTGCAGTGGCACGATGTCAGCTACTGCTACACGGACCAGTGGGACACAGGCAATTCTGCTTTCTCCTCCCAAGTAGCCAGGACTAGAGGTGCACGCCAATATGACTGGTTAATGTCTTGATTTACTGTGGAGACAAGGTCTTGCGAAGTAGTATAGGCAGGTCTGGAACCCCTGGACTCAGGCGATCCTCTGGCCTCCACCTTCCAAAGTGCAGGGATGACAGACACGTGCCACTGTCTATCTTTCCCTTCAGTTCTACTAATTTTTGCTGTATATGTTTAGGTACTCTGATGCTCTGTGTAAATATTTACAGTTGTTCTATCCTCTAGATGAATTGACTCTGTTATTACAGTTACCTGCTTTATTGTACAGTTTTTGACAAGGTTTTTTTTTTCTTTTATGGAATGAGTGCCTAGCAGGCAACATACAATGAAGTTTTCAAAACTCATTTACTTATTCTTTGACTTACGATTAGATAATTTATTTATATTCAAGATAAAGAACGTCCTTTAGCATTTCTTGGAAGACAGGTGTGCTGGCAATAAACTTCCCAAGTTTTTTTTTTTTTGGTCTGGGAATGCGTCTCACCTTCATTTCTGAAGGACAGTTTGGTCAAGTAGATGCCTTTAATTGGCAGGATTTTGAGTGCTTTAGCAGTATGGATACATCATGCCTGTAAAATTACTGCTGAAAAACTCTTCCATGGCCTTACTGCGACTTCCTTGTATATGACATACTTTTTTTTCTTCTCCTCTCTGTATTTAATTTTTGACTGTTTGATTTTAATATGACTTGAGATAGTCCTGTTTGCATTAGATCTTATTGGAAACTCTCTTTGTATATTTTCTGCTGCTATAACAGAATATCGCAGACTGTTTAACTCTAAAAGAATAAAATTTAATATGGCTGACAGTTCTGGAGGCTGGGAATTAGAGCGTGGTGCCAGAATCTGGTGAGGGCCTTTGGGCTGTGCTCTCCTATGGCAGAAAAGAGAGCGAGTGCACTCGACAGATTTTAAAAATGGGACAAACTTATCCTTTTATCAGGATCCCACTCCCCCAGTAAAAGCCACTCTCTTGATAACTATGTTACTCTGTTCATGAGGGCAGAACACTCACAACCTAATCACCTCTTAAAGGTCCCCTTTCCCCAAACTGTTACACTGGCAATTAAATTTTGACATGAGTTTTTTTTGGGGGGGGGATATTTAAACCATAGCAGAGACATTTGGACTTCTTATACCTGGGTAATTATATCTTTCCCCATATTTGGAAAGCTTTTGCTATCATTTTTTAAAATAAGCTTTTTGGCTTTTGTTATTTCTCTCCTACTTGAACTCTCATGGTTAAAATGTTCACTCCTTTGAGATTTCCCATAAATCCTACAAGCTTTCTTCATTTTTTTTTTCATTTTTTTCTCCTTTCAATGTATATGTTTTTGTTTTTGTTTTTGATTTGGAGAGTCTCACTCGGTCGCCCAGACTGGAGTGCAGTGGTTGCTCTCGGCCACCGCAGCCTCGACCTGCTGGGCTCCGGTGAGCCTTCCGCCTCAGCCTTCCGAGCAGCCGGAATTACAGACACGCGCTACCACGCCCGGTTGATTTTTTGATTTATTGTAGAGATGAGGTCTCACTGCCAGGCGGGTCTCGAACCCGCGGGCTCAGGCAATCCACTCGCCTCAGCCTCCCAAAGGCGCGGGATTACAGGCTGAGCCACCAAGCCTGGCTCAATGTATATTTTTAAGTAACATCTTCAAATTCACAGATTCTCTCTTATGTTTGTTACTGATGCTTTCTTTCTTATTTTCAGATTAGAAAAGACAGAAAGTAAATTAGAGAGACAGACAGGAAGGAGGGAGGGAGGGAGAGAGAGAGAGAGAGAGAGAGAATGAGAAAGGAGATTCACCTCTCCAAGATAGGAGAGGGGGCCGGAGCTTAGGAAACATGGCAGTGGTCACAACTCAGCGAGCACATGACCACACCAGAGCCTGGTAAAGCAATGGCCTGTTATTGATACTTTCTACTGTGTTTTTAAATTTCGTTCATTATATTTTTCAGCTTCAGGATTTTGTTTGAATTTTAAAATAATTTCAATATTTACAAAATTTCTTTTTAAAAAATAAGTATTTTAATATCTTTAATGGATAAAAATATCTCCATACAGCTTTTTAAAATTGTTTTTCTTTGTTTTTTGTTTGCATTTCTATCGTCAATTTAATGCAATGAAGTCATGGCCAATTTCTTAGTCACAAACTTAAAATGAAGATTGGAATTACTTATTTCTGAGCCTTTCTTTTTTTTTTTTTTTTTTACAAACAGTCCCATTAAAAAGTGAGCAAAAAAAATGAAATA